CTAAAGGACCAAGTATAGACGTCAGATATTTAGAAACATTGTAAGTGACAGAGTTGATCATGCCAACAATGGGTCTAGCCTGACAAAGCCTGACATGAGCTTTGTGCAGCCTTGATATATGTATATAAACTGAAACAGCTGGACTAGTGCATCCTAAATTTAACATCCATTCATTCTTTTAATACAACAGTCATTTCTGCAGTTTTTGGGGAGGTCACCTCCTAATAAATGTCCTTACAGAAAATCTAACTGCTCATTCTAAATCGTTACTTTGACTTTTAATACTTAAGTACAAAAAATATCACATACTTTAAGACTTTTACTCAAGTACTATTCCTAAAGGAGACTTTAACTTTTAGCAAAGTATTTTTTGGTAAGATACTTGTACTTTTACTCAAGTATTACTTTGTGGTACTTTATACAACACTAATAAGACTTCATAGTTTTTAAAAATGTTCTTTACCATAAGCTCCGAGGCCTGTTTTCCATCCATGAAAGTGCGAGGTATAGCATTGGGAGTGAGAATCTCGTATCTGGAAGACAAACGTGACACTTTGTAAGGGTGAAAGAAAGACTTTGTTAGCTGAGAACTGCATGAAGAAGAGGATCAACAAACGCTCACCTCTGTCTGAACTCCTGGAAAGGGATGCGGTTCGGGAATCCCTGTCTGCAGATACGAATTCCCTCCAGCACACCGTTACACCTCAGCTGGTCCAAAACAAGATGAGGATCTAATTTACCGGCCTGTGAAAAGCAACAAAGGAAGGAAACAAACAAGTCAGAATAAAAAAAAATGAAATTTTTGTCTATTTACTACATTTCTGTCCATTTCTGTCCTCTGGTCTCACCCTCTTCTCGTGGTTGGGGATGATGCATCGGAGGAAGTTGGGGTTGGTGTTCCTCAGCGTGGCCATCAGCTTGGTGAGAGACTCTTTGTAGAGTTGGCCGACAGTTCGAAACATTCCCTTCTTTGTCTTGAGTCCTGCTCCGAAAGTGACGGGCCCGCTGCTCTCTCCTGAGGACACCTGGTCCAGACCCACAATCCTGTCCACTGAAGGGGAGCAGAAAGCATGGCCTCGGTTTCATCAGTGAACATCGGTTAGATGTGATTACAAGTTTTCTGTTTGTGTAGACGCCAGCTGACTTCACTGCTTTGGACAAATAGTGACAAATTGGATTGGATTTGGAGCTCAGATGGTTTCAAAGTCAACACCAGCAGCGTGTGTTTGTGCAGCTGGTAAGATACACACAGGCCTTGTTGTTAGGAAAAGCCTTTCAAGATCAACCTGTTAGCTTTTGGACGAGTTCAGACAGGTGTGTCAGGCTTGCCTGAAGAAACCAGAGTGATTTATTTGATTTTTGACACGACTGTGTTGTGGGTATGAGAAGCGATGTACGGAATTTAAAAGGCGGTAATAAACAACAAGTAACGGGTCTATTTGTGGTTGCTTGCTTGTTCATTATCCAATAAATTCAATGTGCAAATCACAGAAAATGACAGAGCTGAACACCGTGTTGGGGTTTTTACGTAGTGAAATTACACAGCAGCTCTGAGCAGAAACAGCAGCGCTTCATTTTCCTGTTCTGTTTTATTGTTTTGTAATGACGAAGCTTTACAGTTCTCAAAAGAACAAACTAGTAAAAAAATCTGTAAAAAAACGGAAATATATTTTTAGCAACAGAGCATTTTGTGTAATAGCAGAGCCTAACTCATGGCTCGACCGAGGTAAGGGAGTGGTGGCGCAGAGGTTAGAGAAGATGAGTGTGTGATGCAAAGGTCGCCGGTTCAACCAGCCCCACTTTGGACCCTTAAAGGGATCCACGATTAGTTGTAACATTAGACTTTATTTGATAAACATTTATTTTAGCTGTAAAATAAAGACTGTAAAAATACTGTAGGATGTTTAGTTTTTATCATTTTAAACTAAAATTTTAAAAATATATTTTAACACGGATGGGGACATTTTATTTACACACAAAGCATTCTGGGTAAATGATGACGTGGATAGGTCCTCGGTGCGAGGCTATATCCACCC